AAAACTCTTACTTCTCCATCTATCTTGACCAATAATTTGGCTGGGTAGAGTATTCTTGGGTTTGTGTTGTTTTCCTTCAGTTTTTGGAATATGTTACTCCACTCGCTACCCTTCTTCATAGTTTCTGCTGATAGGTCTGCGCATATTCTTATTTGGGAACCTTTATATGTGATTGGTTGTTTTTCCCTAGCTGCTTTCATGATTTTCTCCTTTTCCTCAAAGTTTGATAGTTTATTATGTGCCTTGGTGACTTCTTGGGATTCAGTCTAGCTGGTGTTCTTTCAACCTCCTGAATGGTTGCCTGGGTTTCATTCATTAACTGGGGAAGTTTTCCTCCAAGAATTCTTACTATTGTTGCAGATGATTTATTTATTGTGTCTTCCTCAGGTAAGCCAATAATTCTAATTTTGTTACGCTTCATAGCATCAGACATAGCTCTTAGGTTTTCTTCAGCTTATCTGATGATATTATTAGATTTTTGTTTGCGTTTGTTAAAGTCTGCTTGGCTGTCCTCCAAGTCACTGATGTGAGTCTCTGCTTCCTCCAGTTGATTCTCGAGGTCCGTGTTTCTGCTACTGGTTTTTGTTATCTCCTCCCTAAGCTCCTGTATTTCACTTTGGTGTATGGCCTTTATCTCCTCTTATTTCATCCTTTTTCTGTATTGTTTCCCTCATATCCTGTATGACTCCAAGCAGCATTCTGAAACTTCTGTGGCAGCTCAATGTCTGTTTCTTCTATGTATGTCGTTATGTTCAGGACATCTTCTGCCATTGCCTTCTGTTTCTCCTGTTTTTCCTTCAGGCCATTGGGGTTGATGGCTGTTTGCATTGCGTTGTTTTAGAGGAGCCAGGTGCCATTTTCCAGGGAGTCTAAGAGCACTGGCTCTCTCTGGGAGACTTGTAGGAATGCTTCTTTGAACTGTCTACAGCTAATTTCACTATGGAATTAACCTAACGCTTTATTCTGCTGTGGGTTGCTTCTCAGGCGAGTCCTCCAGAATGCTGGTAGGTTGCTTGCTTTGGTGTTGCAGAGGTTGGGCAGACGTTCCTGCAACAGCCTGGAATTTTGAAGTGTTGGCCGAGCTGCCTTATGGACCCGGGTACACAGGCAGGAATTCCCTGATGAGAAGCTGGGCAGAGTATCCCCTAGCTACACAGGTTGGAGCTCACCTAGCTTGGTGTGGTGCAGGCGTAAATGCCCTAGGCTAAGGGCAGTGGTCTGGATTTCAGCAGTGGAGTGTGAGAGAACAGGAAAGAGACAAAGAGAAGAAAAAAAAAAAAGTAAGACCGCTTAGACTGTGCAGGGGATATATGGAAGAGAGGGAAACAAGAACAACAATGTAGCTGAGTCCTGATCCCAGCCCATGGAGCTGCAAGGGGCCAGCCAGTGGCTGACCGGAGATAAAGCCCCTGCAGAGCCCTTTACGACCGTGGGGAGACAGAGAGGAGAGGCTGAAACAAAATAAACAATGTAGCTGAACCCCGATCCCTGCTCTAGGAGCTGTGAGGGTTTAGTCCCCACCCCAAGGCAGCAGTGGCAAGCAGTGGCTGTGTTGATACCAAGCCCCCCCTATGGGATCCAAATGGTCCCGGCTATGGCAGAGACAGTGGCGGGGATAAGGCCAAGCCCTAGCTGGCTTCCACTAAGGTAAGCCAAAAGCCCCCAACCGCTCAAAACCCCATAGGCCTGTGCCTACTTATTTTTATAATGCTCCTCCTGCGTTTCAGTAGTGTTGAATTTCCCTCTAAGCAACTCTTCTGGGCTGAATTCTACTGAGTCTCTCTGGTATGTGTCACTCCGTCGCCATCTTCGCAGAAGTCTGTTTATTGTTTTATTAAAAGACCTCGCACTTCCTGTCTGCTCCAGCTGCACTGTGGCCAACAGTGAGCTGTGCTGATACGGTGGTCCAGAGTTATGGTAGTTTCGGGGGGCCTTATTTTCTGGGGGATGCCTTTTATTTCAGCGAGAGGCAACACTGTAAGTAGGTCTTATTTTCGGGGGATGTCTTACTTTCGGGGAAATGGGGTAGTTAATTCCTACGAGGTATTTTATATTACTGCAGCACGGCAGGTACTACCTAACGGTGGAATGAAACGATGTGACACCATCTCTTTGTGCAATACACTTTTATTATCCTTTTACTTTTGCAGTCATCTTTGAGTAATCATTGTGTAAACAATAGAATGGAATGAAATTACATTAAATTGTATGCAAATGGCTCTAGAACACCTTAACAATTACGACAAGGCAATTATAAATAACTTTTTTCCTTAGTAATATATATTTGCTTTTTAAAGTATATCGAAGAGCTGCCATATCTAGGGTTAGCTAGGAAAGAGCGATGGTACCATCCCGGGAGTCCACCTCCCTGAAAAGTTTAAACTCCAATTTTCAAAATCTTAAGATTTACTGGTTCCATTGTATATAATCAAGCAAAGGGCAACTCGGGGCAAAAAGTACTTATCCTTGAAACCTGACAGCGTTTTAGCTTTGTAGTCATTGCACAAAACCCTTTCTATTATCTCCACCTCTATCTGGTCGTTTGCAGAAATTCAAGTAAAACAAAAATGCTGATAATTTCAAGTGTATCACTTTTTGAACAACAGACCGTGTCACTTAAGGAGAAGCCAAATCAGAGATGGGTACGCAGTCAGCCATCGAATAGAATGGTGACGTTTCCTAGGATGCTCTAAACTCTAAAGGAAGCCACATTTAGTGATGCCGTCACAAGTGGCGGCCAGGTTAGCTGTGAGCCCATGCCTGCCGGAAAGCAGCCCTCAGTCAGTCTTCCTGTGAGAGCCTGCAAGGCACCTCCCACTCCCAAGAGACTGTCAGATTGTAATCTGTTTCTAGGCAAGCAAACCGAGAGAGTGAAGCATTCCTAGTTCTTAATCCAGTCACTTCAAAAATTAACATTACAAATACTTCAAAGATATACCTGAAACCTTTTGTTTAAATAAGAGATTAACTGCAAGAAGCATATAATCAAAACCTTTTTCTTTTTCCTTTCTTTATCGCTAAGGTGTGTAATGCATACATATATGAAAAATAAAATTCACAGTTTTAAAACTAGAATTCAAGTTTGGCTAATAAATCTTAATTTTATAAGTATATTAATTTCTAAATACAACATAAAGAGGCAGTATTATCAGATGTAAAATTAACGTATTCTAACAGAAAGCATGAACAGTGAAAGGAGAAATAGGCTTCTGATAGAAAATTCTTTTTTGTGGTTGTTGTTGCCAATAAATAGGGCCACCTGAGTGTTATTTCAGATTCTTTTCGCTGGCGGGATAGTTCCACATTGAGTGCTAAGATTATTAAATAGCTTTTGGAAAAGAGCAGCAACAGTCGTGCAGCTGTGGCATTTGCTTGTTCTCATACTGTGGATTGCTAGAGAATAAAGCGGAACTCGGAGTGTTGTAAGTTTAAAAAAACAACCTTTTTGTTTTTAATCCCATTTTCGTCTAAGCCGACCTCTTCACAATCTTCTGAATTTGCTGGGAAGTGGGAGTAAAAGGGTGGGAGGGATAGGGAGGGGCGAGGGAAGTGTGGTGAGGAGGGGCATGACAGATAAGGGTGACATCAAGGGACATACATCAGCTGACACTCAGCTGAGCAAATCCAATCAGCTTCACTTCGTCGGGAATCTCTGACCCATCACAGCCCGAAGCCTGAGAAGGGAGAAAGAGACCATCTGTTAATGCAGGCCTGTCAGCCCCGAGAAGAAAGGGTGAGTCAGGGGCGCAGTCCCAGCTTTTCTTGTAGGAGACCTGGCTCCCAGCCCCTGGCAGTGACCTCACGTGCCATCACTGCCTTCCCTGGGTGATGCTGGACAGGTTTCACCAAAGCTTCCACCAGACAGACTAGGAAGAAAGACTGGAGGTCTACTTCTGAAAACCAGCCAATCACGGGGATGGGGCTGACCTAGAACGAGTAGCATCTGATTTTCTTGTGCACGAGGTTGCTGATGAGTCCAGGGAGCCAACGCCAACAACCACAAGGTTGTGGATCCAGGCGAAGGCAGAGTCTGAGGGAGCCACGAGTCCCACCTCTTACAGGAGAGACCCTACTCACCATCCTCTTGAATGACTCTAAGGGCCTAATTTCTGCTGTAAGGAGACCTGGTTATCATGCGATCCAGTACAAAAAAGGGGATTATGTAACTCTACACAAATAACCCACACATCATCAGTTATTTTTGTCAACTACACCCTCCTCTGGAGGTATTTTCCTAAAGACACTATGTTAATGTTTTAAAGTGATGGATGAAAAAAATTAGCAGAGTGTACTTACTGAAAATAACTTGAGAGGACGCTGCTGTTGGCAAAACTCTTATAACATGTAGATTATTTGTATAATATTAAGCCTTTAAACAACTTCAGGCCTAGCCTCAAGCTTTGAAGCTGTCAATAACATGTCACTTTCAATAACCAAAACCCAAACTCACTGCCATGGAGTGCGACCCTATAGAACTGGGTAGAACTGCCCCTGTGAGTTTTCAAGATTGTAACCATTTATGGGAGTAGAAAGCTTCGTCCTTCTATGGAACGGCTGGTGGTTTTGAAGTGATGATCTTGCAGATATCAGCCCTATGTGGAACCACTATGCCACCTTGTGATTGCCAATAAAACACATGCAAATTTCTGAAGACCTATTTAAAAAATATTGTATTTTTAAAAAGGTTTTCTTTTCAGTTGAGGTTCTTCAACAGGTTCTTCACAATGCGTGCTTAGTCTCAAGATTTCCCATGGTTTCCCTGCCCACTTACCTTCCTATCTTTGCTTGAAAGGAATTATCATCCCTTTAGTCTCATCTAGATGATATTGTAGAGGAGCACAGAGTATTCCTGGGGAGTGTTCTTTATTTTGTGATCTCTTCAGCTATTACACTAACAGGTGACCCCAGGAGATAATTTGGGTTGCAAGTTTCCTGTCTCAGGACATAGGCTCAGGGAGTCTGCCAGTGTCAGGTCATTCCAGTTAAGTTTGGATTTTTAAAAGAATCTGAGATTCTCTTCTACACTTTTCTCCCATTCCTCCAAGATCCATCTGCGATGACCCCGATCAGAACAGGTGGTGTGGGCAGAAGAGCCCCATTTGGATTTCTGGTCTTTTCTATGGACGACGACGACGAGTGCTGTGCAGTTGCTTGAGTCTTTGGTTTCCTCCTCTCTCGTTTGTCCTGGACACGCTGTTAATGTTGGGAGGTGCCGCGGAGTTGGTTCCAACTTGGAGCATTCTGGCGTACTTCTTCTGAGACAGATTTGTTTGTTGTTTTGGAAATCCAATAATTGCCTTTAAAAAATTTATTGTGCTTGGGTGAAGGTTTACAGAAGAAATCAGCTGACAGTTGAGTCATAAGGGTGAGTTCTATTCCAGACTAGATAAGGGCCAATTTTCATTTCCTCCCATTTCTATTCCTCATTCCTAACCCTTTCTGAACCTTGTCCTTGGAGAAATGGTATCTTCTGATCTCAAATGGTTAACTACTCTAAGGAGTGTGTACCTCAGTAGTGTTATTATTCTCCATATACAAGGGGTAACCTATCTGCCCCCACCCCCGCCCAAACTGGAATTTTTTCAAAGCCATGTATTAAATGTTTTTTGCAAAACAACCTTATCACCTTCAAAGTACTCTCCATTACACTCAATACATTTATCAAACCCACAACTCCATTCTTGGAGACATTTTTCAAACTCATCTGTTTGGATGCCTGATAGCACCTCACTCGTTATTTTTTTTCACCTCTTCTATGTCATCAAATCGATGTCCTTTCATGTTCCTCTTCATTCGCAGAAACAAAACAGTCACATGGAGCAAGGTCAAGTGAGTAAGTACGTGGGGCATGCTGGGTTTTTTTTGCCCCAAACTGGTGCACTGAGATGACTATGTGAACAGGAGCACTGTTGTGGTGGCAAAACCAGTCCCCCGTAAATCAGGCCTTTTATTTTGCACATTGTTACAATCTTTTTAGAACCTCTACATAGAAAGCTGTATTAATAGTCTGACCTGGTGGAACAATCTTCAAATACACTACCAGTCAACATTTTCATCCATGTGGGAAGTTGATGGATGTCCAGAATGAGGTTTGTCATCAACATTTCACCTTTTTTGAAACAAAATCACTCATACGTTTGACTTTTTCCTTTTCCCCATGGAACTGCCCTTGTAAGCTGTGTTCAACATCACAACAGTTTCTGTGGCATTTTTCCTGAGCAGGAAACAAAATTTCACAGCTGCATGCCATTCTCTTAAATCAACCATCCCAAAAAAACAAGGTTGGAGCAAAACTGCTTTTACAAAAAAATTCCTTGTGATCAAAGAGACTGTTCCCAGGTGACGTCACTGGATGCACTAACTCAGAGCGAGTTGCTTGATGCTTGCCTAGCAGGGGAAACGTGCACCTCAAAAGCTCTGCTCTGCCCAGCGCAATTCCAGTTTTGTCTCCCCTCATAGACCTGGGCACAGTTCAGAAGGGGTTAGGAAAGAAAGAGGAAAAGTGACATGAAACACAATGTGTACGAAATGTTGAACACAAAACTAATTTGCTCTGCAAACCTTCACCCAATGCCCAATAAAGTCTCACGGATTCTACAGTCTGTTTGACCAGTAAGACTGATCTTTTTTTTAATGATTTTGAGTTTTAGTCTACATTTTTCTCCTACTCTACCTAAGACTGCCTAATGTGATCTCTTTCCAAGCAGACAGTAGTGGTATCTGGACACCATCTAGTCTCAGGGTCATGGAGGACAATGTCAATGTAATCTATTAGCTCAGTGGTCTTTGATTTTCTTCACTCTTTGTTTCTCCAAATGGGGAGAGACCAATCGTTTCAACTTAGATGACTATTAATAAGATTTTAAGACCTCAGCTGCTTCTCATCCAAGTAGGAAGGAGAGCCTTGTCCTTGTGGAGCACATGATGCCAACTGAACTTCATGTCCCATGGGACCGTGGGCCTGTGTTCCGAAGTCTATACACATGCAAAAATATCCTGCCAACTTATTTTATTTTTGTGGGTATAGTTCCATTCTTCTTCTTCCCACTCTTGTTCAGTGTATGTATCCACACACCCACTTGTAGATCACAATTATTGCACACTTGTTATATAAGATTGACCTCTGCTGCCTTGAACTCATGCAGTCCTATTAGTGTCATTCCCTGACCCATCAATTTTGCCCCAACTGCACTCTTAAAAGTGTATTGCTATCTTCTTCACACAGATTATCACCAGGGGGCTTCAAAAAGTTTGTAGGAAATTCCATTACCTTTTAATTCCCTCCCACCCCCCCACCCGTAATCACCGAAGAATGTGTCCTTTAATATGACAACCTTTTCTTGATGTTTTATAATGGTAGCCTCATACAATATTTGTCCTTTTGTAATTGACTTACTTTGTTCAGCATAATGTCCTCCACGTTCATTCATGTTAAGTTTCAAAGATATTTTGTTATTCTTTAATACTGCACAATACTCCATTGTGTGCAGGTACCATACTTTATCTATCTTCCACTGATGGGCATTTAGGATGTTTTTGCTAATGTGAATACTGCCAAAATGAACATGGATGTGCATTATCTATTCGAGTCTTGGCTCCTTACTTCTCTTGGATACAAACCTAGTGTTAGGATTGCTAGATCAGATGGTATTTCTATTTCCAACTTTTGAAAGAAGCACAATACCATTTTCCACAGCAGTTACTCGATTATAGTCTCACCAGCAGTGTAGGAGGGGCCCATTAATTTCACAGCCTCATTAGCATTTGCTGTTTTCTGTGGTTTTTCTTTTAACTTTGCTATTAATGCTGGGGTGTGATGACATCTCATTGTTGCTGTGACTTGCAACTTTCTGATGGCTAATGATCAGGACCATTTCTTCACGGGTTTGTTGGCTTCCTGAATGTCTTCCTCGGTGAAGGCCCTGTTCATGTCCTCTCCCCCCAAAAAACAAACTTGCTGCCATTGAGTCCATTCTAATCCACAGTAACCCTATAAGACCAGGTAGAACTACCCGTGGCTTTCTGAGGTGGTAACTGTTTAAGGGAGCAGAAAGCCTCATCTTGCTCCCCAAGAGTTTTGAACTGCTGACTTTGTGGTTAGCACCTCACCACATAACCACTATGCCACCAGGGCTCATCTTTAATATCCTCTAATCATTTTTAAATTGAATTCTTTTTACTTGTCCAGGTTTTGTATTTTCTTTAAATTTCAGAGATTTATCCCTTGTCCAATAAGTTGCTTCAAAATTTTCCCCTCAGTCTGTGGGTTCTCTTTTCATTCTTGCTGTGCATAAGTGTCTAATTCTTAGGAGGCCCCAGTCATCTAGTTTGCCATGCTTGGTAGTGTGTTTACGGCACTGTAGCTTAGATAACTAAGCTTGTGAAACCTTAGTCACTACTCACAAAACTATGTTGTAGAAGATAAACTTTATGAACTGCATTATGCCAAGTGACTGGATTGTCCCAGGAGAATATGGACCTATGCCTTCAAGTCCAGAAAACCAATCCTGGGAGGTGTTGGGTTATGTGAAAGAAGTATCTCTAATTCAAAATAAAAGTCAAAAATAAACTCACTGCATTCCAGTCGGTGTTGACTCACAGCGAACCTGGAGGACAGGGTAGCACTGCCCCTGTGAGTCTGAGACTGCAACTGTGACAGCCCCATCTTTCTCCT